TGGTCCAACTCAAGGCTGCGGCGCGCAGGCAGTATGCTCGCCTCTCAAATCCGACCCCCTCGGAAGCGGTGGACTTGAGGAATGAGACTTCTCGATGCCAGACCACTCCCGCCATTACAAAAACTGCGCGCGCCGTCGGGGTAAGCGCCCTCTGGTGGTCGATGGTGTATTCAGTGAACTAAGTCGCCACGTCATGAGTAATATGTAGTGCGAAGCTGGCCTGTCTTTCGGTCGCCGCGACCGAGTTTCAGCCACTGGCCGAATATGCCATAGCCGGAGCGCAGCAAGCGAGCCACCTCGTGAGCGCAGTGGAGCACCATGGTGAACATGTCGCGAACGCGGAGCTTGGGCAGATCTTGACTTGCGAAGGTATTTTCCTGTGTGTAAGAAGGGCGTGCGGCCCATGCCGTTCGTCTGGAAAGCACTTGCTCCCAGGGTCGAGTTTATCGTGCTTGTTGGTCGTATCGATATCTCTTCGCGACCCCCCAATGGGCTTGTGGCGAATGCCAGCCTAACGGCCGTGAAAATTGTGTCAGGCGACGTCACCAGCGACGCACGCACACGCGTTCAAACTGTTGAATCGTCCGGCGCTGTGCCGCACGATTGCGCTGCATCTCAGCGGGGGGCCCAGCACAAGTTGCACCCGTACGCGTGGCGAAGGTGGTCAAGCCCAGCGGTGTCGTCCTGGGCGAGGGGCGGGCTGGGCGAGCGACAAGGCGAATCGGCTACGCGTAAGCGTGACCTTTTACCAGAGTGACCTTTGGTGTGGGCCCGCAGGGGTGGCCCCATCACTGGCCTTTTCGCGCTTGAGTCTGGCCCCGCGGCGGCCCCCGAAAGCAGCGCGCCAAAGGCCACGCCTGCCCAGAGTCACCCTGGCAGTGGAAACCCATGCCGTGAGACACCCCACTTGCCTCCAGCGTGCCCTGGGTTTCCTGGGAGCCGATTGCTTCCTTGAGGAGAGCATGACGTCCCCACACCAAGAACCCATGGACGTCCTGGGGTCTCAGGGTTGGGCTTCTCGTGGACGGCTTCTGGTGGTCGAGCTCCTACTGCACGTGAAGGCGAGCGAAAGAGGTCGACGCTGTGGTCGCCGCGCCGCCCTGGGGACCCCCGATGCGAGCCGGCCCTCCCCCCGCCCCCCCGCTTTCAGGCCCCCCTCTGCCTCCTCCTCCTCCTCCTCCTCCTCCTCCTCATCCTCCTCCTCCTCCTCCTCCTCCCCCTCCCTCCTCCCCTCCCTCCTCCCTCCTGCCTCCTCTTTCCTCCCTCCTCTTTCCTCCCTCCTCTTTCCTCCCTCCTCCTCCTCCCTGCCCTTTCCTCCCTCATCCTCCTCCTCTTCTTCCTCCTCCTCCTCCTGCTTCCTCCTCTTCCTCCTCCTGCTTCCTCCTCCTCCTCCTGCTTCCTCCTCCTCCTCCTCCTTCCCGCGCCCCTGGGGGCCGAGGGGGGCGCACGCCCGCGCGGCGCTCCGCCGGGCCTCGGGCGGGCCCGCGTCCAGCAGCCGCACGGGCGGGGGGGGGCTGCCCCGCCGGAGACCGCGACGGCGACCCTCGGGCGCGGGAGTCCGTCGTCCGCCGTCGTCGTCGTCGTCGTCGTCGTCGTCGTCGTCGTCGTCGTCGTCGTCGTCGTCGTCGTCGTCGTCGTCGTCGTCTTAGTCGTCGTCGTTGTCGTCGTCCGTCGTCGTCGCCGTCGTCGTCGTCGTCGTCGTCGTCGTCGTCGTCGTCGTCGTCGTCGTCGTCGTCGTCGTCGTCGTCGTCGCCGTCCTCGTCGCCGTCGTCGTCGTCGTCGTCGTCGTCGTCGTCGTCGACGGCGTCGTCGTCGACCCCGTTCCGCCCGCAGGTCCTCGGCTACCTCTGCGAGATCCGTGTTGGCCTCCCGGCGCCCGACGGTCCGTCCCCCTGCCCCCTCTCTTTGGCGCCACGGCGCGGCTGCCGGCGAGCAGACCGCGAACCTTCTCCTTCTGTGAACTCACGTCGGGTATAGCCAGGACCCGGTTAGTGGTAGGGCCCTGGAGCCCCTGAATTGGCCAGATTCACTGAACCAGGTTTGCCCTAGCTGGTGTTTTTGCGGGTGACGGCAGTTCCGGTTAGTGGAAATGGGACGGGGGGGCGCCCCCGGTACAAATCACTAAACCAGGTTCCACTACACCCAGGTCTGCCAACGCCGGACTCACGTCGTCCTGATTCCCAGCATTCGACGCAACAGGCCCGCCAGTCAGGTTCCGCCTGCTCCTTAGGCTTCTGATCCTCCTCCTGCTGCGCCTCTTGTTCCGCACCGCCCCCCCATCCCCTCTTTCGCACGACGTAACATGTAGGGGAAACGTGCAGGGGGTCCCAGGGCATTCCTTGATCGGTCGCAAAGACATCAGGACGGGAGGCTTTTGGCTACTTTTGGCCTCGGGGTGCCCCCGCCAGGCCTCGGGACCGTCAACAAAACCGCTCGGGATGACCAACCGGCCCCCGGGGAAAGGGTCTGGATTTCCGGGGACGCTGTCCCGAAGACGTCAGGACGTCGCATGTCTGGGGGGCATTCCTAGGGGAACAAAAAGTGGCATAAACATAAAAACTCGGAGGTCCGCGCTGATTTCTCGGATTGGCGCTGGACCCCCCTCCCTGGAGCGCGGAGCGCGCCAGGGGCGGCGCCGGAGGCGCCGCCAGGGGGGCCCAGCGCCGATCCGAGAAATCCGCGCGGATCTCCGAGTTTTTATGTGTATGTCACTCTTTGTTCCCCTAGGTAAGCCTCTTTCTCCAGGACCCCGTTCTTTCCGTGCCGGCGGCTCCAAACCACTGCACGGGCGGCCGCCGCCGGTCCCGCGGATCCACGGGAAGAGCGAGTACTGCGACGACGAGCTCGAGAGGGACCTCCCGGGGGGGAGTTCGGCGGGGGCAGGGCCGTCCCAACCAACGGGATGCGAGACCCCTCGTCGTCGGCGTTCTCCCTCCTCTGCACCCCGCCCACCTTCATCCTCCTCCATCCTTCTCCATCCTCCTCCCTCCTCCATCCTCCTCCTGCTCCCTTCTTCCTCCTTCCTCGTCGTCGTTGTCTTCCTCCCTTGTCCTTCTCCTCCTCCTTCTTACCCAGCCTCCCTCATCCGCCTCCTCCTCCTCCTCCTCCTCCTCCTCCACCTCCACCATCCATCGCCCCTCCTCCGTCCCCGCTCCTCCCTCGTGCCCCCCCCTCCCTCCCTCCCTCCCGCCCCTCTCCTTTCCCCCCACGGCGCGTGGGGGGAGACGACGACGACCTCCCCCCAAGCGCTCACGGCACCGACCCCCCCGGCCCCGGCGCTGCGAGGAGAGGAGCGCCAGGACGTGGGCGGCGCGCTGCCCCCTCCCCCCTCTCCCGGAGGCTTCGGGCAAAGCCCGCGAGCAGGCCCCAGCACAAGGATTCCGACGGCAGGACCCCACGCGAGAGTCTGCTCAGCTTTCCCCGCGCCCTTTCCTCTCCGCCCTGCCGGAGGAGCTCCTCCCGCCCTCCGTTGCGCCTCCTCCTCCCCCTCGTCCTCCTCGCCCTCCGTCGCCTCCTTTTCCTCGCCCTCCTCGTTCTCTTTCTTTGTTCCTCCTGCTCCCCATCCTCGTCCTTGTTCTTCCTACTCTTTTCGCCTCCTCCATCTCCCTCTCCTCATCTCCATCCCGCCTTCTCTCCTCATGTACCTCGCCTTCCTTCTGGCCGGGGCACGTATTTCGCTTCTCCTTGGCGCCCTCGCCGCCACGGCGCGCAGCGGCGCGTCCGCCTCGGGCTAGACCGCGAAGCCGTTCGGGCAAGCCCGCGGGCCAGCACGTTGAGACAACCCCGTGGGCCTCTGGGGCGCGGGAGCAAGCCGTCGGGACAACCCCGCAGGCCTCTAGCTGGGCGCGGCCGCGCTCAGGCGGGAGGGAGCGCGAAGCCGAGCTCTGCCGCGATCTGCTCCGCCCTAGCCTTGCCCGCCTGCGAGTTCCTCGCGACCGCCCGGGTTCGAACATGGAGGTGGGGACCCCATAGGGAGGGGGTCCTGCCCGAGACTTCCGCGCGATTCTCGCACAGACGGGGCTCCTGCTTGAGACCGCCTCCCTATCCAGGCCTGCGAAGCCCCAAAGTGACGTCAGGTACAGGTTTAAATTAGGATAAAAGCACCGGATTAGTAATCTGAGGTGCGGGCCCCGATTAAAAGATAGGTTCCCGCTAGAGATTCCCAGGCAATTCACTCACAGACGAGGCTCCCGGTTGAGACCTCCTCCACTTTCATGCCTGAAGACCCTCAAAGTGACGATAGTTACAGGTTTGGGGTTGACTCCCTGGGATTAAACAGATTATGCGCGGGCCCCATATGGAGGGGGTTCCCGCCTGAGAGTTCCTCGCTATCCACTCACAGACGAAGCTCATGCTTGACACTGCTTCCATCTTTCGGCTTGGGGAGCCCAGGAGTGACGACAGTTGCAGGTTTGATGCTGTTTTTGTATAAAAAACGGAAGGTGTAGGCCCCACAGGGAGAGGGGGCTCTCCCTCCGGATCTCCTCGCAATCCACCCAGCGACGAGGCTACCACTTGAGACCGCCTCCATAGTCAAGCCCGAAAAGCCAAACGTATAACGCCAGATATTTTTTTGAGGATCGCAAGGTTGATGATGTTGGTGCTGGTGCTGGTAATGATGATGGTGATGATGATGATGACGGACAGTGCTCGGTGATCCAAGTGGGAGGGTGATCGTGGTGATGGTGATGACGATGACGATGGTGGTGCTGTAATGACGATGATGATGGTGGTGTTGATGATGACGGTGGTAATGATAATGAGGAGGAGGATCATGCTTATACTGGGAGCACAGCGGGTATGAACATAGTACAGAATGAGCGCGGTCGCGCTCAAGTTCTTTAATCTAAAGCGCGCGCTTGAAGAGCCTGGGGGGGGCCTCTTCGACGGAGTTTTCGATTCGCCCTGATGCGACTGGGGTGATCACCGGGATGGGTTCCCTGAAAACCATGGCCGTCCAGCTCGGTGTGATCGAGCAGAATCGTGGATCCTCGGCCGAGGACATCTGGATCATCAGGGTGAGGGGCGCTGAGTGCGCCGAGGTGTCCACCAACGACCGCACGGCCATGGCCAGGAAGTGGACTTCCGAAGCCACTGGCAGGTACCTGGACGGCGGCAAGGAGTCCGGCGGCATGCTGGTTGACCAGCGTTTCTGCACGCGCATCGTGGAGGGCGAGCTCTGCTACAGCATGGTGGCGGACAAGCTCGTGGGCATCATCCACGAGAAGCCCAAGAGGGCGGCATTTCGGCCGCTGGCGGTACAGGCTCCACTCGCAGCTCCCACTGGCGCGCTGACACGACCCTTGTTGACCTCACGGGCGGGCTCCTCAGCAACGGTTGCATGCTGGAGGGGCCCTCGTCGTTTAACAATACGTTTGTTTTCCGATTGACTTTCAAGACGTGCCAGACGCCAGAACACCTGAAGCACAGGTCGCTCTACTTGGGCATCCGCGGCGCCGTGCCCTGTAGTTTGGTTTTCATCTTCATCGGCAAGACCTCATGCACGCGATGTGTATCATGCATCTGGTGTTTGGTGCGCTTCTCATCTACACGGGTGTTGAGATTATCGCAGCCGGCGACGAGGACGACGACCCGTTCTAGCAACCCTTCGTGCGTTTGGTGACGAGGAAACTTCACTTCGTGAGCGCGCACGGCGACAATGAGGTATTCTTCGTGCGCGTTCCAGAGGATGAGCGCGCAGAGGTGGTCTGCTTCAAAGAGTCCAACGGCGCCGCCGCGAGGCCTGCCTCGGGGGAGCCAGATGCCGCTGCGGTGTCCGAGCGCGGCGCTAAGGCGTCCGACGCCAAGTCGTCGTGGACTGTTTGCTGGCCGTTTGCGGGCAGCTGCTTTGCGGGCAGCTGTCCCGTGCGTCAGCAGGCCGGCTACCGGCGCATTGGGCGCGGGGGCTGGGGCCGCCAAGCTGCGCGGCGCGGGCGCGAGCGATGGCCTGCACCTCGTCAGCCCCTGTGGCGGACTGGACAAGAGGTCCAGCCATCGCCGCTACGACTCCACCCCGCTTGCTGCCGGCATGGTCAGCGCCAGCGCGAGCTACCGGCTGATCCACCGCTTCCGCGAGGCGTGCGAGACATTCCTCTGGGTTTGCTCCAAACTCGACTTCCTCATCGGGCGCTGCAGCCTGGGGCAGATCAACCCGAACTGGGGCAACCAGGGCAAGGTCGGCGACGGTTTGCGCCCCAGGGTGCTCGAGCTGGTGCTCGATCATTGCGAGCTGCACGCGCTGGGGCGCCAGGATCTGGCGCGCCCGGCGGAGGCGCAGCGGAAGCCTGATTTGATCGAGAAGTGGCCGAAGGAGGAGGAGCTCCAGTGCGCCGAGGAGCTCACCGACGTGTTCAAGACGCTGGACTCGCGGGTCGCGCTGTCAATCTAGCTGCGCGCCAATTGCCACCAGAGGGTCTCATCTGCTCTGTGGAGCTGGGACCGGTCGACCGCGAAGAAAGGAGGATTGCGCGAAGCTGCTTCCGAACATGGTTCCCATGGGCTCGGAGTGCGCGCGGCGCTTTGCCAGGGGCCGCCTGCCGTCCAACCTCAACGGGCAGCCCCATCGGCGACCTCCACCAGGGAGCGAATATCCTCGTGGACCAATGCGAGCTCCAGAAGACCAGCCCCTTCCTCCTCGAGGCGCTGATGGCTCGCGCGCCGTGCCAGGCCCAGCTGCGGGTGCTGCTTTTGGCTCTGGACACGCGGCGGGCGCCAAGGAGTGCCGCGACCGTCCTGCAGAGAAGCGCGTTCACGCACTGCGACGGGAAGATCTTTCGCCAGCTCCGTTGCGTGGCCGGCCTGATGCAGCGCGCCCTGGCGCATCGCCAGGACCCTGCGAACCTCGAGCGGAAACTGATGCGCGGGAGCAAGATCACCCCAGCGGCGCCGACGCAGTTCCCCCTCGCGCCCGCCGCTAGAGACACGCCCAGAATGCCTGCGCGAGCTCGTGCGGCGCGGCCAGCAGAACATGCAGACTGTCGCCCCAGTGACCATCGAGCTCTTTGGCCAGACGGTTGCGATCAAGAACGCGGAGAGGCCCGGGGGCTGCATCCCGAACGAGGGCGCCCTCTACTCCCTGGGGGCCGTCCGGAGCGCGAGCGCCGAACTGGAGGCCCACCCTGGGTGCGCCCAGGCGGGCGCGGCGACGCGCAGGAGGTCGGGCGCGTTTGCCGCGGGGGCACCTCCTGCGGCCCTCGAGGAGGTCGAGCTGCCCAGCCTCCGCCGGCTGAACTGCGTGTGCGACCTCCGCGTCTGCGCGGCCGCGTTGACGGAGCGCCTGCGAAGGCACTCCTGCAAGAGGCGCATCGAGGTCTACTCCAGTTGCCCCCCCGCGGTCGGGGCGCGGATCGACGCGGGCAGCTCGGCGGGCGTCGCCAAGGACCTACTGCGAGGCATTCGGGGCGCCGGCCCCGTCGAGGCGCTGGCGACAGAGGCGGGGGGTCGCAGCCGCCTCCGCGCGCTGCGTCTCTCGTCGAGGCGCGGGCCGCAGATGGCCGCCAGGGCTCGTGCCTGGGCGACGCGATGGTTTGCCGACGACGCCGGCCGGGGCCCGGGGGCCCTCCCGAAGGCTAGGGCGTTCGTCGACTCGGCGATTGCCGGCGGGTACTTCCGCGACCCTCGCCTCACGCGCGCGGGCTACAAGCGCGCCCGGGGCTCTTGCGACGATCAGTTCGCGGGCGAGACCAGCAAGAACGGGCCCTTCAGGCCGCCGGCGCGCTACCTCGTTGAGCGCCAGAGCCCCGCCCTCTAGTCGGTGGCGATGGCGCCCCTCGTCACCGACGTGTGGCGGCGATAGGTCGTCCACCAGATCGCGCGCACTTCGCCGCCAGCGTCGACGAATGCCGACGACGTCTCTGTCGCCGCGAAGGCCTTCATAGAAGCCTGGCCCCCCGCCGTGGCGATCGAGTTGCCGGGGGAGGGAGTCTCGCGCATCTCCGCGCTCAGCAAGAACGAGAACTCTCGGAATTTCCTGATCTTGACGGGTCAGGGGCACCTAGATGCGCGTCGTGGATCGCCCCAGCCGCCCGGCAACCGCGATGGCCCGGGCGTCTCCGCGACCGCGCTGGGGCAGTGCGGCCTCCTCGAGGATGCGTTCGTCATCTGCGAGAAGTGCAGCGTGAATTCCCAGTCCACGGAGGCGCCCCTGACGACCGTCGAGGGCGCCCGGCGCGCCATGGAACGCGCCGCCCGCCGCAGCGATGGCGCCGCGTAGCGCGAGCGCGGCGAGGTGCAGCTGAGCCGCGGCCAGTGGTCAGGGGCTATCGAGACTCGCCTGAAGGCCGAGGGCGCCGCTGGCTACGCGGAGTTCAAAAAGGCCACCGCGCGAGAGGAGATCGCCGAGATGCGCGTCGTCGTCCGCCCCGGCCACCTGGAAGTGCCTGCGGCCTGCAGTGATCTCGGAGACCGAGATATTCAGCAGCTCATTTCGCTGTTGGAGCGCCCAGCGCGGACCAGAGAAGCATATGGATTTCACCCAGACGTACACGGCGAGGCTGAGAATTCCGAAACTCACAAACGCACGCGCGCGGCTCCACCTGTGGGGGGCGGCCATGTTCCTGCGCTCGCGCTGCGGCGAGTACGGCCAGGCGGCGGGCGCCGCGATGGCCCGCGGCGCCTCGGCCTACACCCACTTCGTGTTCCTGATGGCCGCGCAGAGGTCGTCAAACATGGAGCTCGATTGCCGCGCCATCTCCTCCTACCTGGGGGGGGGGGGCCGGCTGCGGCTGAACGCCGTGCTCAGTGCCATCTCGTCAAAGGTGGACTGTGCCCGGGTCGCGCGGCAGGCTTGCAAGGCGGAGCGCTGCGCCGTGGCCGACTTCGGCGGAGTCTGCGTCGGGGGCCGCGCGGCGGGGCTCTGCGCCTGGACCTCAATGGGCGTGACCAAATGCATGGGCGGCAGGCAGACCGGGGGCGCCCCCAGGCCGGCGCATCTGCCTTCGCGCAATTAAGGGCCAGCTGCGCTACGACATAATCGTCGACGCGCTGGTCAGCATCACCCACGAGCAGCCGAAGGGCGACGGCATCTTCGCAGCTGGCGACGCATGCTCCACCCGCACGTTCTACGGCTCCAGACGTGTGAAGTTCACGAACATCACCATCACCTTCCTGACGAAAGACCTCCGCAGGGTCATGCTGGGCGCTCGGGCTGGCCGACGAGCTGGCCTCAGTCTGGCCGACCGCCGACTTACTTCACCCCGGAGGGAATCAAAGTTCAACCAGGCCTGCGCTCGCAGCCGGCGAACCACGTTCGCAAAGGGGGGCGCGGTGAGCACGCCGATCCGCGTCGGCCCAGTGGCGCGCTCGCATCTGGCGCGTTGCGTTCGCGATTGCGGCGCAGCGGGCACGCCGGTCCGCATCGGCCAACTGGTGCGCCCACATCTGGCGCGCTGCGCTCGCGAACGCGGCGCCGCGATCGCGCCGACCCGAATTGGCCCTCCGGGCGGGGGGGCGCGTGATTTGGTGATTTTTGAAGAGCCACGCCGGCCCGCTGGAGGTGGAAATTAGGCTCGTCTCCAAGAGCCGCGCAGTCCCGCTGGAGTTGGGTGGCGGGCTCTGCTTCCACGGGCTGCGCGGGCCTGCGTGGGAGGGGGGGCAGACTGGCGCCGAGCTCGTGAGAGAGAAAGGCTTCTCCTGCTACTGCGCGCGCAGGGGTCTCCGCCCGTGCGCGCGCCACCTCTGCGGCGCCGATGGCCGGCTGGGCGCGTTTCGCATCGTCTCCGCTTGCGCATGCCAGTGGCGCGACTCGCAGCCTGTGCGCGCCCCTGACCGGACTTCGAGCTTACGCAGATCACAGGGGCATCTTTGCTTGGCTACCCGCGTACTCTGCGTGTACTTGCACGAGGCGGTGGTCTGCTCCAGATTCACCTTGATGGCGGACTTCCCCAGGTCTCGTCAGGCATCCCTCTGACGCCTCGCTGGTTGTCGCCGCATCTATGGCAAATCTCCTGAGCGGCGTCGAAGCGCTCGTCGCTGTTTAGTTTCTTGGTGGCTGCACTCGGTCCTGACGGGCCGTTCTGCGCGCCCCTTTGCCGAGGCGTCTCACGAAGGTGTTCTTTACGCCTACGCGGGTGAATCCCTCGATGGTGCCTCCCGCCCTCCTCGTTGCTAGACCTGGACCAGCTCGGCGGCTCGGCGTGCCACAGCTCGTGGCCACGTGGCTGCGCTCGGCGCTGAACCCCGCGTCGCGCATGTCTTGGCCTTGCTGCAGACGCATGCGCGTTGAATCCGACAACGGCACTTCAGGGCCGCGTTGCGTGCCCGCTGCTGTGGCCTCGCTGACCCCCTGCTGGTTAATGCTCTTGCACGTTGTGGCGCATGGGCGCGTAGGCAAGTCCCGCTCGCTAGTCTCCCTCTTCTCCTCCTCCTCCTCCTCCTCCTCCTCCTCCTCCTCGTCCTGAGCGGTCGTGCCGCCCGCGTGCGGCGAAGCAATCACGCAGTCGCATTCAGTGGGCAGCGTGAATTGCTTCCGTGTCAGAGAGCGCTGCTTGTGCCCGCCGCTGCTGGCGCTCATGTCCTAGTGGTGTAGAGTATTCCACTCGCAGTGCAAGCTGGTGAGCAATGGTGGTTTGAGCTTTTAAAGTAGCCTTGGCAGTCTGGCCAGTTCGACTGTCCTGCGCCGCGCGCGCGGCCGCCTCTGGCGCCCTCCGACTGTTTCGAGCAGGACGGCTTCCTTTTCTCGCAAACTTCTCACAAGATGTGCTTGGAACGCGTGTGAAACAACGGTTGCCATGAGAGCACAGCTGATATGAAAACAGTATGGAATGAGCGCGATCGTGATCACGTGTTCCACCCTCTGGTTCCCATCCTCTGCCGAGTCGGAGTTGTTTTAGCAGCCCTGGCAGTCTGGTTGGTTGGACTGGCCTGCGCGCGCACGGCTTCCTCTGGCGGCCCCAGACTTTTTTGCAGGACGGCTTCATTTTCTTTCAAAGCTTTTCACCAGAGGTGCTTTGAGCGCGAGTGGAAATCGGTCGTCGTGATGATGGTGATGATGATGAGGACGATGATGTGGTAGTGATGATTGAGTAAATGAGTTACCGACTGAGTAAGTGAGTGAGTGAACGAGTGATGAGTGAGTGAGTGGGTGCGGATGAGGATGTGGCTGGGAAACAGAGAGGGGGAAAAGGAGAAGGACGAGGAGATCCTGCGCGGGCGTTAGCAGAGAAAGCAAGAACCCCACTCCTGATGTGGAGAAGAATCCCAAACTCACACACACAACCCAAATCTCTCGATCCTCGGCCCCTTTGACGTCTCGAGCGCTCGATCCTGAATTCGCAGTCCTCGACCCTCGGGCCTCGATCCCAGAGATCCCCGGCCTTCGATCATCGGTCCCCGATCCTCGGTCCCATGAGTCCGGGAGGAGGAGGAGGAAGAGGAGGAGGAGGAGGAGGAGGAGGTGGTGAGGGAGGAGGAGGAGGAGGAGGAGGAGGAGGTGGAGGAGGAGGAGGAAGAGGATGAGGATGGGGAGGAGGAAGAGGAGGAGGAGGAGGGGATGAGGAGGAGGACGAGGAGGAGGAGGAGGAGGAGGAGGTGGTGAGGGAGGAGGAGGAGGAGGATGAGGAGGAGGATGTGGATGAGGGAGCAGGCAGGAGGAGGGGGAGGAGGAGGAGAAGGAGGAGGAGGAGGAGGGAGAAGGAAGGGAGTTGCAGGAGAGGACCTAACGGGAAGCGAGTGTGACGTGGACTTGTGTCACAGCTGTTTTCGTGTAAACAAGTTTTCGTGTAAACATCTCATGTGCAAACATCATGCTATCATATTCTAACATGCCATGCCAGCTCACACCGGGCACGCAATCGACCTTGGAAACCGCAGTGGGCTTAAACACCCTGTTTGGGGATACTGCACTCCGACCATAATTTCTGGGTCCAGTGTCCAGGGCTGGGGTCGTGATTTTAGACCACCTTGGCATTCTGTCCGCGGCGCCAGGTCTCAGGCAGTTGCACGTCACCGAGGTTAGGAGGCAACTACTAGGAGGTTTCCGTCGGAAGGATTAAGGAAGATTAAGCCCCATTGGGGGGCTGTTACGCCAGAGTGGGCCTCGGATCAAGCAGGATTAAGCCGGATTAAATGGGATCAAGCGGGATTAAGCCCGATTAAGCGGGATTAAGCGGGATTAAGCCGGATTCAATGGGGTTTCGGACCAGGGCTAAATCAGAATTTGACCTCCCAGGAGTTGCATCCGAACCGAGGGGGGGAAACCCATCGGCGAGTCGCTGCTAGAAAGAAGCGCCGAGCCTGCGGACAAAAAACGCAGAGGAGCAGCGCGCCGGCGGGCTCCCAGCGGCAGCGTGTCCCCGATGTCCTCTGTCCCTCCCTAGCAGGGCTGAGCAGCGCCCGGCTCGAGCTGAACCTGAAGCGCCGGGCGCTGCTCAGCCCTGCTAGGGAGGGACAGAGGACATCGGGGACACGCTGCCGCTGGGAGCCCGCCGGCGCGCTGCTCCTCTGCGTTTTTTGTCCGCAGGCTCGGCGCTTCTTTCTAGCAGCGACTCGCCGATGGGTTCCCCCCCTCGGTTCGGATGCAACTCCTGGGAGGTCAAATTCTGATTTAGCCCTGGTCCGAAACCCCATTGAATGCGGCTTAATCCCGCTTAATCCCGCTTAATCGGGCTTAATCCCGCTTGATCCCATTTAATCCGGCTTAATCCTGCTTGATCTGAGGCCCACTCTGGCGTAACAGCCCCCCAATGGGGCTTAATCTTCCTTAATCCTTCCGATGGAAACCTCCTAGTAGTTGCCTCCTAACCTCGGTGACGTGCAACTGCCTGAGACCTGGCGCCGCGGACAGAATGCCAAGGTGGTCTAAAATCACGACCCCAGCCCTGGACACTGGACCCAGAAATTATGGTCGGAGTGCAGTATCCCCAAACAGGGTGTTTAAACCCACTGCGGTTTCCAAGGTCGATTGCGTGCCCGGTGTGAGCTGGCATGGCATGTTAGAATATGATAGCATGATGTTTGCACATGAGATGTTTACACGAAAACTTGTTTACACGAAAACAGCTGTGACACAAGTCCACGTCACACTCGCTTCCCGTTAGGTCCTCTCCTGCAACTCCCTTCCTTCTCCCTCCTCCTCCTCCTCCTCCTTCTCCTCCTCCTCCCCCTCCTCCTGCCTGCTCCCTCATCCACATCCTCCTCCTCCTTCTCCCTTCCATCTTCTCCTCCTCCTCCTCCACCTCCTCTTCATCCCGAACGGCATCTCGGAGCCTAGAGTTGCGAAGATGTCTCCAGCGTAACGGGCTGGACCACCTCACGCGCGGCATCTCGGACCCCAGAGTTGCGACGATGTCTCTCTCGGGCGAAACGTGCTGCGAGGAAGTCTCAGGTGAAACGGCCCGGACCACCTCGAGCGCGGCGTCTCAGAGCTCCGAGTTGCGGGGGCCTCCCGGGGCATCCTGGGGCATCCTGGGGACCTCCTGGGGCTTCCTCCTGGGCCTCCTGTCGCCTCCTGGACCCCACCTGGGGCTTCTTGAAGCCTCTTGGGGCTCCCAGGGGGGGATAGCTAACATGTGGTCGTCTGGGCTCCCCCAAATGAGGGGGGGGGGGCACAATAGCAGGACAAATCAACGAATCGACACCGGATGTGTATTACCTTGACACGTTCTGATAGGGGGCCTCCTGGGGTCTCCTGTGAGCCTCCTGGGAATCTCCTGGGGACCCCTGGGGCCTGTTCTGGGCGTCCTGCGGCCTCCTGAAGCTCTCTGGGGCCTCCTGGGGCTCCCAGGGTCCCAGGGGGGATATGTAACATGTGGTCTTCTGGGCCCACAGGCTGGACCACCTTTTGCGCGGCATCTGGGAGCTCAGAGTTGCGAGATTGTCTTGTGCGAAACGGGCCGGACCACCTTGCGCACGGCATCTCAGAGCTTAGAGTTGCGAGGATGTCTCAGGCGAGACGGGCCGGACAACCTCGCGCAGGGCATCTCAGAGCTCAGAGTTGCGAGGATGTCTCAGGCGAAGCGGGCTGGACCACGTCGCGCGCGGCATCTCCGAGGTCGGAGTTGCGAGGATGTCTCAGGCGAAATGAGCTGGACCACCTCTTGCGCGACAGCTGAGAGCTCAGAGTTTCGAGGATGTCTCAGCCGAAACGGGCCAGACCACCTCGAGCGCGGCATTTCAGAGCTCAAGGTTTCGAGGACGTCTCAGACGAAACGGGCCAGACAACCTCTCGCGCGGCATCTCGGAATGCAAAAGCGCGAGGTGTCTCAAGTGAAACGGGCTGGACCACCTGTTGGGCGGCATCTCGGGGCTCAGAGTTTGGAGGATGTCTCAAGCGAAAAGGGCCGGACCACCTCTCGCGCGGCATCAGAGAGCGCAGAGTTGCGAGGATGTCTCAGGCAAAACAGGCCGGATCACCTCGCGCACGGCATATCAGGGCTCAGAGTTTGGAGGATGTTTCAGGCGAAACGGGCCGGACCACCTCTTTCGCGGCATCTCAGAGCTCAGAGTTTGGAGGATGTCTCACGCGAAATGGGCTGGACCACCTCTTACGCGGCATCTGGGAGCTCAGA